GTGGGAGCATGGTTTTGCCATCTGGAATAGGATGTTGGTAGCACTGCCAGACTGCCAAATGGATTATTGAAAAATTTGTGATACCCAGCTGAGCCATAATCAATATGTCACTGTCAGCATTCTTTATACCCAAATCCTTGCCTCAATACCACTTCAAAAGCAAAAACAAGAATCATCCTTCTGGGGATTTTAAAGCCAGGGTTGACCATGACTTCAAAGTCTGTAGCAAGACGATTGGAAAAAATGGATTAGGATTGGCCAAAACAAACAGTAATCTCCTGCTGATAAATGCACTCAGCGTGGCATCATTATAACATACATCATCTTCTACCAGAAGGGCAGATACAAAAGTAACACAGAGACATGTCTCTTGGATGACTATCATACTGTACATGATATTTATTTCCACTTGAGGCATCAGTTCATGCATCTTGTTAAAAATGCTGCAACAATTCAAATAAGGAGCTTGAAAAATGAGCAACCTTTGTTGGCTGGCAGAACAATAAAATATCACAAGTCAGTAATCCAACATCTCAAGGGTTATGCCCAAAGACATATTTGGAAGCTCAAGGACTTGTGGTAGGAAGAAAAGGTATGTGAGATCCTCAACAGTTTGCTGAATATCATTACTTGCAAAGCTCTTTTTGAAACCACCAGGGGCATTTATAAATGCGAAAATTTATAATCTAAAATTGACAAAATCCTTTTTGCTCTCTTCTCAAGAATGACAAGCCCATCCATTACTGCTGGAAACTTCACTTAAAACAACTCCTGAACTGTGAATCCACAGCAGAAATTAATAATCTTCAAGCTATCTGCCAATACCATGTGTTAGGATCCATGGCTGAGACACCATCAAAGGTTATCCAAAAAATGAAAAGCAACAAAGCCTGTGGCCCTAGTAGTATTCACATCAAGATTCCGTACGCTCATTCTATGGTCCGGGAGAGGAAAAAAAAAAAATTCTCTCCCAACAACTTCAACATTTATGGCTACCTATAAAAAGGAAAATGAATCATGTTGTGAAACTGTATGGTTATTTCCATTTGTCTAGAGCAGGGAAAATCCTGACATGGATTCTTCTGAATGACATGCTTCCTGCGGCAGACAAAATCCTTGCAGAGATATAGCGTGGCTTGAAAACTTGCAAATGAATCCCAAACATGGTCTTTCTTACCAGACAAATCCAAGAAAAATGTTGAGAATAGCACCAGGAACTCTTTGTTGCATTCACTGACCAGTCCAAACCATCTAACACAGTAAATTGTGAGGTTCTATAGATCAGAATGTCCAAAACAAAAGCTATCACAATCCTGCAATGATCATGATGATGTGAATGTAACTAACTGCCTTAAGGGGAAGATCTGAAACAGATGCTTTCAAAATCCTGACTGGAGCCAACCAAGGCTGTATGATACCTCTCATACTATTTATAATCTGCCTAACAGTAGATATTCATAGATAAACTGCATTCTAATGTCAACATTAAATATTGCCTAGGCAGAAATCTCTTAAAACCTCTGTACCAAAGTTGTCTCTGTGCTAAAACTAAACTAACCATCATAATCATACACAATTTATACTTTGCAGATGACTGCAATGTTGCTGCCTATTCTGCATCAGATTTGCAAACCACGTGATATATTCAATTCTGCAATCAAGAAATTTGACTGGCCCTTGAACTTTGCCAAAACAAAAATAATATGGTCAACTGGTCAGCAAAATATTCTACCTCCCATACACGTTGAAGGGCAGTCACTGAAATATATTAAGCATTTCCCATAATGTGACAGCCACCCCTCTCAAAAGGCAACCATTGATGAGAAGATCCAACACTGGGTCAGCTACATCAGCTTAGCCTTTTACAAACTGTGGTGAGAGTTTGATAACAAAGACCTGCCCAAGTCAACATAGGTCTTAGAATGCACAGCAGCTATTGTCACCACACTAACGTTCTGCAGTGAGAACTGGACTATGATCAGCAGTACACAAGAGTGCTAGATAA